TCAGACATTTTGACCCACTCCTCTTCTCGCTCAATTTTATCAAGCCCGCACACATGTCCACTTGTGGCTTCAGCTTACGCCATTCAAGACCTTCCTATTTTCAGTTTGTCACCCTTAGCTCTACTAACTGATTCTTGCAGGAGGTGCTTCTTGTCTGCAGCTACTCTGAGATATGAATTCGCCTGCAGAACTTTGAGCCTATCTGCAATATTAGGCAGTGCAAGTATATATCGCATACATACTACCGGGGTATCTCTTGTACATCCCAAAATTACCCGCATGGCCTCATTCTGTATGCGTTATAGTTTTATCAGCTGACTCTTTCATATGTAAGTATTCCAAGTCCATAATCTACCACCGACTGTATTACATGCTGGAACATTGTGAGCAGCATTTTTTTGTTCAATGTCCATTGCTGTCATAATCTTGAGAGCATAAAGTCCTTTTAGGCATTGTCCCGCAACTGCCTCCACGTGATCCCTATAGGTCAGGCTTCTATCGAAAGTGATACCCAGGTACATCAGTTTGCTGTCTTTTTTGATGTTACAAGAATTAATAGTGAGACTTAAAGCTCTTACAATTCTATTGTCCAGACAGCACCCCAGAACAGCCACCTTTTCTGAGCTGATGACAGCACCAATTTTTTTGCATACCAGTCAGTCACTTTGTCTACATTTGCCTGTAGCTCTTGGGCTATCTGTCGCCTATTACTCCCCTGCCTAAATGAAGAACATTGTCAGAAATGTCAATATCCTTCCAACACCTGGTGCTGCATGTTCTGCAATCGTGCTGGTATAAACATTCGAGAGCACTGGTAAAATTGCAGAACCCTGGGGTAGTCCCGGAGCTATATTACATGGTTCTGGGGTCCACGTACCCAGGCGAAGGGCAGCCATACGTGAGTGCAGGAAAGTTGATATCCAGCTCTCAAGCCAGGGGATAAACTCCCTTCTCCATGAGTACAGATACCAAAATTTCATATCTGACATTATTGTAGGCATCCCCAAGATCAAGTGCTGCGACAACTGTCTCCTGTCTGTTCTTGAACCCTTCATAAACATCAAAAGCAAAAGTAGCTGAATTTGACTAGGTATCTCTTCGTGCCTGGTAACTACTCAAACATTTTGACAGCAGCTCTTCCCTTTCCCAAAAAATGTGTAGTCTAACATTAATAATCTTCTCTAGCTTCTTGCCAAAAGTATTTTGTAGGGTCATAATCCTGAAACCGCCGAGTCTGGAATTATCTTTGCCTGGTTTGGGAAGGGGGAAATCAGGTAGCTGTGTACCCATTTTAGGTGAACTGACTCTGTTCGGATGCCCTGAGTGCTGTGATGTCGGTTCTTGGATCAACTCAACCTAATTCCTATGTTTTTTTAATATCTTGTTCTTCCTCGACCAATATACGCCTCACGTCCCTCTTTTCTTTTGGTTATGCCTAGTATGGTGTTACGTCGTAATCCATTTTATCAAAGAAAGATTTTCATTCATTATTTTAATGTTCGGATCATTCCTGCATTCTTTCTCGTACGTCTCATTTCTACGATTGCTAATTTTCTTTTCAGTTTTGTCAGCAAGTATGATACTGGCAACATATGTTGAGAATAAATATGCTTTGTATGACATATTTCTTCATGCTGCTTACAAATCCCTTTTGCTTTACAAACCGTTTTCTTTGATTTATGTCATTATCATCATCATCATCTTTATGTATCATTTGCATTATACGTCTCTTATGGCTCTCAGTCTATCCCTCTATTCGACCCCGTACTGTGAAATCATGTCTGTATCTTGAATGGCTTTTAGTCTATTACCATTGGCCTCTCTCATCAATGTTATGTTAGGTTTTCTCTTGAACGTCATCGTGTCTTTAGTTCATTTTTTAGCAGAGTAGCAAGCTTCACTTGGATGGTCACAGGTAGTGAGCATACTTTGGATCGTTTCTCCACGCCATGCGGGCGTAGTGGGTAATGAACAGGCAGAGAAATTAGCTGGATAACAACCACTGGGTGGTGAATTGATACATGACAAGGCAGATGTGGTCAAGGCCCTTTGAAAACAAGAAACGAAATCAGTAAAGAGACAAGATTGTTATGGCCTGGAGATAATGAGGCACCTGGGCATAACCAGATGGTCTGGCTCACTACACTCAAAGGAAAGGCAAGACAAAAATATAACAAGTTTGTGACCGGTACCATCAGTATTGGAACTTTGCGCTGGCTGCCGAAGATGAGGACGGAGCACGCATAGGAGTATCCCGAGTGCTGTGATGTCAATTCTTGACTCAACTCAATTCGACTCAACTTGGTTCATTTCTTTCCAATTGTAAAGTGTGTATTAGTATTTCTCTGCTACCTTTCTCTCAAGATATGTCCAACATAGCACAACCTTCCTTGTCTTTAGCTGTTCATAACAGTACTGGTCCTGATGTTGTCCTAATTTATTCATGTTTCTCTAAATCAATGCATTTGAATGTTCTTCAGATTGTTCAAAGGAACATGAGAAAAACATAAAACACATGATATTCCATTTATTCAGTTTAAAAACAAACAAAATAACTGCAACATACATTTTTCATGTTTTCAGCATGTCAACACGAATTCACAATTTTAAATCATATAAGTAACAATTATGACCAGACGACAATAGATATTTTGTAATTCACAAACACATAGACTTTATATTCTAAAAACCAAAAAAAAAAAAAAACCTTTACATAACATGTTTACCGCTATTATACAACATCGACATATTCAACATCTGTGTTACATTACACTTATATACTGTGTAAATGTCTCCCTGTTTGGGTGTAGAGGCCCCGTTGTAGGAGTAAAATGAATATACCCACCGCCTCACCCAGCAGGTAAGAGTCGACTAATTGGGAGCTTCCTTCGAAGTTGGAGTGCATCTACCCGAGCGGTAAGGAACAACCAACTGCAAACAAGCAGTAAAATGGATGTACACCCAAATCTGAGGCCCAGGCACAAAGCCAAATTCCAAATGACGAAGGACCAAAACTTTCCACAGGAGCTTACAGCCGGTGAACAAAGAAGAAGATATACCTGCAATATAACTCGTACATTTGCCACAGTTGAATCACATAACATTATACATCTCTGTCACTTAAGCTTAAAGTAATTTACAGCTTCCTCGCTTGGCCTGTATATACTCTTAAATGATTTTACAGAAGATGTGCATGTTCTATTACTCTGTCAGATAACGTATGCATCTTCTGCAATCCTGTTACATAGTTTTTAATGTCATATAACATTGTCACAAAATTGTACCTACTCCGCTACTACTTAATAAGCTTTAAAATTCCACATTTATGACAGATAACTTTTACAACTTCGACAATTATGACACAGAGTCTTGGGATGTTGTAAAACATTAGCCATTTTACGACTGATTTAAGAATCAACGTAACAACACTCTTGCCATTCCCATAAGCCCTACCGTTTTCCCATTTTCAGAAACAAGCTCAGCATTCTGACTATAGTTTTGACTGGGAGTGAGTAGAGCACAAACTCGACTTGCTGCCAGGAATAATCATAATAACTGTGGTCTGGTTTCTTTGTTCCAGGTGTATTGCTTGGGATATGTTAGCTGTGTCAATTGTGAGGCTCGAACAGTTTTTTGTCATTATGATGGCTAGGTCTCCCTGTTCGTGAGTCTCGTTGTCCATCTTTGCAGGTCCAGGTACTCCCCCCCCCCCCCCCATGGTTTGAGAGGGTATCCTTTTTTGTCTGCCAGACCTCCTAATTTAGGCTTGATTGTGGTATGTATAGGTTAGTTGCGTATCCTTTACAGGACGTTGCAGAACCAACTCCAACAGCCCCTGGCTGTTGTGTGGTTTTTCTAGGCAAATTTGCGTCCAGTAGTTTGCCATTTGTGGTATGTAAAAGTGGAGTTATTCTTTTGTATACAGTTTAGTAGTTTTGTCGTCACTACGGGCAGTCATGTTATCTATCTTTTGGATTGTTGTTGTTTTAAATCCTATTTTAATTTCCTGTTAGATTGCTCACTGTTGTGTCCACGTGTTTCTGTTTTTGAATTCGGTCTGGGCCGTTCTTAATATGGTTTCGTGCTGTTTGTAGAGTACCTTATGCAAGTACTCAGGTTGTCACCCAAATAACACAGCGCCGAATTGGTCTTTTTGTTTCACAATTTTGAAAGACTTCAATGTCAAAAGTGATCTTAACTAAATCGATTTTTGAGACGCGACATGTCCAAAAATATAGTCTTATCACTTTTGATGGATCTTATAGATGTCTTTGTGACTGAAATAAAATATGAATTATGATACATATTAAAATATACATGGACTGAGAATGAGTGTTATCTATACACGATTTCATAGATAAGATTATGCTGGAGCTCTGAATTGGGTTGGTTGCAATGAAGGCGGGGTGGGGGTGGGGTGGGGGAGGGGAACTCTTCTGAAAAAGGATGGCTTCGGTCTGAGCGCAGAGTCCCAAAGCCGATTTTACTAATAGCAGTTTCATTATAAGTCCATCTTGCCTTTCCTCTGAGTGTAGAGTATCGACAAGATCTATTGGACACTCCTTGCTGCAGCATCGTCTCCAGACTGTGATTTCGGAATGTTCACCTTCTTCAGTCGACCTTAACAACATCTAGCTTCTCATGGATCAGTTCACCACTCAAGTGTTTACGAACCAGTCAAACAGCATGCCACTTCGTTTCCTATCATACCTGCCTGCCTCAGAGACAAAATCCTAAGGACCTAATTACGCGGCTATCGATGCTTTCCATTCAACACGGAGCATGCCTCTCTTTATCTCTCAGTTTGGTTTGTGAATATCTTATAATGACAGCATATTTATACATCTGGTTCTCAAACCAGCAGAAAACTGACTGACTGCTTCCGCCTGCATTCTTAAACCAGATGGTATGGTATCATATGCTAGGCTTTGATTCTTTAAGCGACTTCCATTCGCTGTTGTTACAATTTTGACAGTTCTTCGAGATAACCTTGATAATTTCTACAACTCTGTAACATAACCTTTAGATTTCACATCTGACATAGCAATAGTGGCGTTATAGTCTCTGTCTCCAAGCGTAACGTCGGTATCAACGGCTTTCTTCTGTCTACACAGTTTCAGACAAACCATACATAGTGACCTGTGAACAAACGACCTATAAGTGGAATCCAGTATGTAGAAAACTAGTGGATTCACAGCCGAGTTGGAAGAAGCCAAACAGAAACCAACAATTTTAAAAACGTGCCAGAAAATATTATAGTCGCCAGGCAGGAAGTGATACCACAGAAGGTAGACATGCCGGGGGGTCCAGCAGATGGCAAAGACGATGATCAAAGTTAAGACGGTCATTGCTAAGCGTCTCCGTTTCGTGACGATGGTTTGTCGCCGCTGTTTGTAGCCAGGTTTCATGTCTGCACTGCTTGGTGGGCTCTGGGGGCTGGATTCTTTCCATGTTACCGTCGGAGTTGCTGTCGTTGGACAAGACGTGCGGGAATCAAATGATGCCTTTTTGTTATTTTCTGAAGAGTCAGCTGCTTGTTTGGCATAACTGCTTTCTAGTTTTGGGACAGCTTCTACGGGGATTGGACCAGTGTAGACGAAGCAGTAAGGAAGCACCGGAGTCTGCTGCAGCTCTGTCATCTCGGTAAGGGAATCTGGTGAATATGACTTGTCTTCTTTTCCTGTTTTGGTGTCTGATTTTGCTGGTTGTGGTGAAGGATCTATGTGGTTATTGCTCGTCTCGGGTACATTTTCCACTTGTGTTCCATGGAAGCTGTTTACTGCTTTTATTGTATTGACTTGATTATTGCGTGTAAGTTCCATAGACATGTGTTTATCCCTTTTCGTCCCCAAGCATCTAAGATAAATTTTCCCATTCGTCTTGTGTGTTTTTACTTTCCTCTGCGAGAAAGGAAATGCTCTTGAAATCAAATGAACGGCTATTAAGATATACGCCGTGGCAATAACAGTGAGCGGTAAACAAAACAAAAATATAAAGAAGAAGCCAACGTGAATTTTTGATAATGTCCGAATCCAGCTCTCATCAAAATGAATACAAAGCACTAATGTATCATTGTTGACTGTTTCTGGCCTGAGATTAGTTGTGATCAGGTTAGGCAAGGATACAAACAGCGAAAAAGACCAGATAGCAATAGTCAACCATATTGGACCTCGCTTTTGGCGTCGCCACAGCTTCTTTCCAGTGACAATCAAACACCGTTCAATGCTAAGAAACGACAACGTGCTGATCACCACTGCCGTTGCTAAGCTGTCTGCAAAGTGACTCAATTTACATATGGCTAAACCAAAAGGCCAGCTGGAAAACGTGTACCAGACCATGTTAAACGGAAGCGATGTGATTAGAAAAATAAAGTCACCGGAAGCTAAATTCACTACAAGTGCATTATGCGGCGTGCTAAGAGTTTTATGGCGAACGAAGGACAGAATTAGCAATGTGTTTCCAACGACGCCAGTGACTAAGATGGCCGCAAACACGCAGGGTACGATAATAGCTTCCGGAGTACGATTGTATAAATCGCCCCATTCCGTGTGAGCGTCTGAATAGTTGACTGTGCTGGTCTCCGTAAGGTTCCAGTCGTTCAAAGGCTGTTGCTGATCCATTTCTCTAGCAATTTGATCAGCTGGCTTCCGCTCCACAGATGATCTTATGGTTCTCCTGCGAGAGTGGGAAATCAGTTTGATTAATAGTTTTAAGTAAGATAACACACATTTGACACACTAAACAAATATGGCTGACAAACTATTTGGCTACTTTATTAATATCCTACCCTAAACAGGGGAAATCCAGAGGTCACGGGACGGACAGTTTAATATTTCGAAGGGTGGTAGATAGGCTGCATGTAGTCGTGGGACAGAGGCTGCACGCGGTGTTAAGTCCTAGGCACCACTCTCTCGTGGGGCGTAGGTGGGTTGGGTTAGGATCAGTTCTAGGGGTTTTTGGGTCGATAAAAGCATCAGAGAGCCGGAAAACCCAGTCTTACCACCCTCTAAAATGTGACGTCATTTGGGAATATGATATTATTTAGGGCTGTACCGAATATTCGCTTCGTATTCGCTTCGGGGCCGAATAGTGGACCTAGTAACTATTCGGTATTCGGCCGAATAGTTGCGGTCGGGCCGAATACGAATAGTGGTTACCTTATACTGGTTTCTGGACTGGTGGAAAATAAACATATCAAGATTTCCCACCTTGGTTCATACTGTCAAGCGTTATCTTTGTGCACAACCTACGAGAGTACCAAGTGACCGTCTGTTTGGTACAGCTGGAAATACCTTCAGTGAGACAAGAAGCTGCCTTAATGCTGACAGCATGGAACGATTTTTATTTTTTATTTTTGCAAAGCTCATGCCGCTTTCATGGATTAACTAAGCTGTCAGTGACAATTTACAAGTTTAATTACTTGGTATGAAACTAAGATTACTTTCATTCCTTAGTATTAGTTATCACAGACTGACTGGCTGAAGGATGCAAAACATGAAATGTTTTTAAATGTTAACTATTCTGTACTACATTTTGTGAAGTAAAATTTCAGCGTACATTTGACATTATGGATGTTTTTTTTTTTTACAAGTACAAACATTTAAGTATCTGGGCACATGGATAACATCAGATGGAAGATGCATTACTGAAATAAGAAACAGAATAGGACAGGCAAAAACTGCATTTTATAAAACGAAAAACATCTTATGCAATTTATGTATGTCATTGAAAGTTAGAAAAATAATTCTTGCTTGCTACATACATCCAGTTTTAACATATGGCTGTAAGTCCTGGACAATCGGTAGGCAGGCCAAACAATTTCTTGAGGCCTCAGAGATATGGTTTTATAGAAGAATGCTCAAAATACATTGGACAGAAAAAAGAAAAGCAACCAAGAAGTTTTGATAGAGGCAGGAGCCTGAAGAAAACTACTTACAGATATCAGAAGGAGACAGCATTTTTCGACCATGTTATAGGATCAGGGAAAATTGAACATGTGGTAACTACTGGAAATATATGTGGAAGGAGGGATAGAGGAAAACAACGAGAGCAGACTCTTGACAGTCTTGTTGCATGGCATGGAGGTGTGTCAGCATGCGAACTAAAACATGGTGCGGGAGATCTCAGATTGTGGCGAGGCCTAATCGCCCAGACCAGTCGCAAAGCACCGGACGATGATTCACTATTCGTATTCGTATTCGGCCGAATAGTTGGTCCAGCTATTCGTATTCGGCCGAATAGTGAAAATCCCCATTCGGTACAGCTCTAATATTAATAAAGCACCACTATTATTGTAGCTGTACGCAAAACCTGGTTGGGGCCTTACAATAACAAAAAAATTGAGTTCCACATTGGGACGGGATTTTATAGTCCAGCAAACGGTGTTAGAGCCTTATTTATAAACCATTAGGAACTCAGTAACTGATGAGGCCAACAGTATGTTGGCTGAAGTACTTTCAATGATATTTTTGAAACACTCGTACTGGACAATGGAGATAATCCATAGACCATGTGTGAACGACTGCTGACAGAAGACGTGAGATAAGATGAAATAGCATGTGCAAGAATTTGCAAACAAAGAATTAAGTGTGGGTGGACGGATGAGAAGAAGGGAACGACGTGTGTATAATCAGTATGCTACGGAAATAGTTAGCAATTGCATCCTAAAGTCATTTGCTGCAGGAGAAGGAGCATTCAGTTGGTGGTGTTTTCTGCCTGTCGTTGCAGGTTATCAGTTGTTGTTTACCCCTCCCCCCCCCCCACCCCTCCCCCCACCCGCCCCAAATAAGTAACAAGTTATTTCATACGGCATTGACCTGGGATGTAATTGAGCAGTTATCAATTATCGCCGTACAAACACATGTAGTAAAAAAAAAGTCGCTTCGTGAATGCAGAGTTGCTAATCCATACGTGATAGTCCCCCAGGACTGTGGTTTAAATAAGTCAACATTCACCGACACCTCTTAGAGGTGATCATTGAAACATGTTCCCAGCCAGGAGCCTGGCGAGCGTAGATAGGATTAACGTTACTTCGAAATCCCAATGCACCTCCTGCCTGTCTCCACCTTTCTCAACATACTATCTGAGTCACTTACAATTACGACATGAGTGTACAGTTGATTCTTAATCAAGTGAAGCAGCAGTGACTGCCTCCACCTCCATTCTCAAACCAGATGTGATATCATATGCAGGCTCTTATGCACTAAGTGACGTCCATTCGAATTTGCTACAAACATCTACGCACCTCTTCTACCTCTCAACAGAGAGCCATCTGTATAAGATAATCACGTCACCTGGGCGGGAATTGTCATGAATCCTTTGTTGAACTTCTGATTCTGCTGCACCGTTAGCCAGTCCATGCACTAACGACCTAAATTCTGCCTTAGAGACAAGGAACTAACAGTCTGCACATAAATAAATCAGTTTTGTAAAATGGATGTGCGTGCAACACTCAAGAACCGGCAAAGCCCAGGAATTTTCCACCAGAGTATACACGCGGTAAAAGCGAAGAAGAAGATGATGAGTTGAAATGCGAATTTTACATATAAAGACAGCCATGAAAACATCCACATTATACATAGAAATTAATATAACAAAAGAACATATTAAAGTTACTTTTTTTTTAAACTAATCAATGTTTGATGAACATCAGTTCTAGCATGGGTGGTAAATACAGTGGTGCGCTTAGCTCTTCACCGCTACCCCGTAGTTTATCTTTCAGCGTTGCCCCTGTGAGAAAGATCTCTTCTTTGTGTTTGGAACATTCTGGGCAATCTTTTAGTTCTGCTCTGTAGTTTTCTGGCATGCACTATAACTACTTAGGGTGAGCTAGTAAGATTTATGTGGTAAAAAAATGGAGTTCTAATCTACCTTGAGGTGTTTTTAAGGCAAAGCTTGTCCCCATGTGAAAATTATTTTTTTTTAATTTTTTTTTATTTGAAGCCCCACCCTGGCTTCTGTCGGGGGCCCTAAATATGACAGGGTCATAAATACGGCCTAACGGGGTTTCTGGAATCTCTTCACGGGTGATCCTCATTCGCATGGTGGCACTTTGTGTCACCGGGTGTTTATCGCGTGTGCGATGTCCTGGTGGGGTTCAACTAACTACCTACCTAATCTATATTGTATGTCAAGATACCAATATAATGGACGGCTGCTGTAGCTTTAGTAAGTCAAGTATTGTAACTTTAGTGTTACAACCAGATTGTTTGTGTGTGTGTGTTTGTGTGCGTGCGTGCTTGTGTGTGTGTATGTGTGTATGTGTGTGAGAGAGAGAGAGAGAAAGAGAGAGAGAGAAAGAGAGAGTCGACTATTATTTCTGCTAACGTGTGAAGTAGTTAGGAGGATGTTGAGGTTGTTTCCCATGCAGAGTACTGTCTAGCCAATCATTGGAACAGAAAGTCTCTTATCCAAGAATACATTTTGCCACTCCTGATTGAAGAATTATTTTGCTCAAACTCTCTTTCAATGCAGAGTGGACATAATTAGACAATTACTTCACTAGAATCTATTTTCTGCAAAAAAGCACGTACCATAATATGTTTACAGGGATACAGTCTTACAAACTGAAATCCAGTTTCTCAATGACCACATATTTCAAATGCCGTGGCGTCATTCCTAGACTTGTTGATTGGCCATCCAGTGGCTTGTAATGTAGGAACCAAACAAAGTGCATGAGCACGCTGATTGATGGTAGGACATAACAGACCGAAGTAGCAGTTGTCTGAAACATGAACAAGTTTTTGACCTGTGTTTGTTGTGGATAAGTTGAGAATGGAGGCGGATAAAATAAAGTGATATCGGATTCAGCATTAGCATATCCTTTACAGTACTGTTTTTTTTTTTCTCTCCATCCTGGGGTGCCTCTAGCGGGGGCAGCAATGAAGTTTCAAGGGGGTAGGGGAGAAGATGTTGGGGTTTGGGTTTCTGACTTTAAGTTCTTTTGATTTTGTAATAATCTTTTATATTAACAGTGTTTCTGTTTTCAGTATCCCATTGTGGCTTGACCAAATTTTAGGCAAATAATGACAAAAACACACACTAAAAGCACACAAACACACACATACATACACAAACTGTGAGTGGGGAAAGGGGAGATAGTAGGGGGAGGGGGGTTTACCATATTATCAAGGAAGCGCCACATGAAAAATGTTGAAAACCACTGCTTCACATAATGCCGCACCCTTAGCCACATAATTAATTAGTCGGCTGTTTCTTGTTTACTGGGTAATTTGACATTCAGCAATGCGTAGTTGTTTTCTAAATTGTGGTCGCGCAAACCGTTCTTGAAATGAAAGCTGTCATATCGCATGCAACCAAATCCAATTTTATGTGCTGGAATTATGAAATTGGGCCACCGCCAAGCCACAAATGCTGACATACTGCATAACTTTACAATTAGATGTAAATAATCAAAGCCTTCCTAACAGCATTATGGGCCCTAAGCAAACCACAGTGCTGACGCCCCAACGACAACCACTTACGTAAATAAAATGTAAATAAATGGTTGATTATATTTAGCATACATTTTTTTTTTTGGGGGGGGGGGGTGGTGGCACTTTCACAAAACTGCTGGGGAGAAAGGGGGAAAAAAAAGGGAGGGGGGATATAATTTCAGTTT